TTTTTCTCACATTATAGGCAAACCATATTCAACCCTTGAAGGTCTTTCTTTCAAAAAAAAATACCTGCACTCAGTATCTCACTCTCCAAGGGTCACAACAGAGTCTAGGATAATAAGTGACAAGTGAGAGTCTATGGTACTAGTTCATCGTCATCATCTGCCTTCAAAAGAGACAAGCTGCAGTCCTGGCAGGTCTGTTTACATTCACTCCAGTGTTTATTGTCCATGATGAAATAAGATTTTATGCCACAAGAGAACAAGTGTCCTTCAACATCTTTGTCTACAACAGAGAAGTTGAATAGTTAAACTTCTTTATTCTCTGGTATTCTGTTATTAGAACAATATATTTATTAAAGTTATGTAACTAAGCAAAACTCACAGCTCTCAGAAATTGAAATTCTGGAAGGCTGAGAGACCCCATACATACTCATGCTATATATAACAATATTTATAATAGCAATATGGGAAAAACTTAAGCATCCATTATAGACGAATCAATAGAGAAATCATAGCACATACACACAAAGGTATACTGTAGATCTTTTAAAGAGTAGTAAAATGGCCAGGCATGGTAGTTTTTGCCTATAAGTCTGGAAATCCATAGACTGAGGCAGGAGGATCACCACCAATTTGAGGCCATCCTTGACTAATAAGTGATTTCTAGTCCATCATTGGCTTTGCCATGAGTTAGAAGGGAGCCTGGGCTATGCCATTTCTCACATCTAATTCCCCCAAAGAGAAATCCTGACCTAAGTGATCAAATGTTTAGTAATAGTCTCCCAAGAGACTCCTGTCTGTTGCTTAGATAGTGTCAGGACACAGCATCTACCATGAGCATATTAACTTACTAAAGAGACAACAGTGTCCTTGCATTATCCTCCTTTTCTTAGAAGTCTACAAGAAATTCTGTCAGAGAAGCCTGGCCGGATTCGAGGATGTAGAGTGAAACATTCCTGGCCCACGGCCATACTTTATGATTCCACTCAGATGAGCTTCAGTGCCCAGGTTCAAAAAGCAGAAGTTTTTAGGATTCCAGGTTCTTGGGGAGTGGGAAATGAACATTTGCTGCTCTGAGGCCATTACATTTAGGACACAGTGTTAGATCTGCGTTAATGAAGAGCCCACAGCTAATATTATGGGCAAATTGAGTTACAATTACCATGGGGCTAACTGGTAAAAACCACTTATTTTGTGGCTCTCATATAATTTCCATTTTGTAAATGGGCACAGAAGTCAGCTAGTTTCTCTATTGTCACCCAACTGCTCATTTCAGGCAGTCTCACTTCTGGATTTCAAGGAGTAAGCCCTACGCTCCAGGCAAGTGTAGTCGAACTCTATGGAAATAAAGAAATGTCAGTCGCTGAATATTCCATACTAAAGGGTTAAAGTTATTCAGGGAAAACTTGCTTCTCTGAGGGACCCTCTTGCAGATTTGTGAGAATGGGAGGAGATTGAAAAATCACAATTGTCTCTTAAGTATCAAGTCTTTTTGTAAATGACCATGTGTCCTGACCCAGCCAGGAACAGGATTTAATTTCCTTGGAGACTCTTACTGGACTGTTTTGCTCACATAATAGGCAAACCATATAGAACCCTTGAAGGTCTTACTTTCAAAAAAATACCTGCACTCAGTATCTCACTCTCCAAGGGTCACAACAGAGTCTAGGATAATAAGTGGCAAGTAAGAGTCTACGGTACAAACTTATCCTCATCATCTGTCTTCAAAAGAGACAAGCTGCAGTCCCGGCAGGTCTGTTTACATTCACTCCAGTGTTTATTGTCCATGATGAAATAAGATTTTATGCCACAGGAGAACCAGTGTCCTTCAACATCTTTGTCTACAACAGAGAAGTTGAATAGTTAAACTTCTTATTCTCTGGTATTCTGTTATTAGAACAATGTATTTATTAAAGGTATGTAACTAAGCAAAACTCACAGCTCTCAGAAATTGAGATTCTAGAAGGCTGAGAGACCCCATACATACTCATGCTATACATAACAATATTTATAATAGCAATGTGAGGAAAACTTAAGCATCCATTTTAGATGAAACAATAGAGAAATCATAGCACATACACACAAAGGAATACTATATATCATTTAAAGAGGAGTAAAATGGCCAGGCATGGTAATTTGTGCTTACAACCCTAAAAATCTATAGGCTGCAGCTGGAGGATCACCACCAATTTGAGGCCATCTTTGACTAATAAGTGAATTATAGGCCAACCTTGGCTATACCGTGAGTTAGAAGGTATAGAAGGTATGGAATTAAATCATTTCTCATATCTAATGCCCCCAAAGAGAAATCCCGACCAAAGTGACTAACTGTTCAGTAATAGTCTCCCAAGAGACTCCTGTCTGCTGCTCAGTTAGTGTCAGGACAAGTATCTGTCATGAGCATCTAAATTACTAAAGAGACAACAGTGTCCTTGCATTATCCTCCCTTTCTTAGAAGTCTACAAGAAATTCTGTCACGGAAGCCTGGATGGATTCGAGGATGCAGAGTGAAACATTCCTGGCCCACGACCATACTTTATAATTCCACTCAGATGAGCTTCAGTGTCCAGGTTCAAGAAGCAGAAGCTTTTAGGATCCCAGGGTCTTCGGGAGTGGAAAATGAACATTTGCTGCTCTGAGGCCATTACATGTAGGACACAGTGCTAGATCTGCGTTAATGAACAGAGCCCACAGTAGTTCACAAGTGACTGTGCACTCAGAGTTTTGCTGAGGTCTATTTTAAATGCTCTTAACTTAAGACAAGTAAGAGACACATGAGGAAACTTTTGAAGGTGATGGTATTTTCTGGTGGTTGTGGAGATGCCTTCAAGGGTACACCCATTCCCCAAGCATTTCAAGTTAAATATATTAAAATGATTGAAGATTGAATAGCAATAACAATTCAACATGATTGTTTTGTGAAGTGTTGGAGTTGGCCTTGCTCTATCAACAAACTTTGTCTCTGACCTTTGTTCTCTGGAGTTTTATCACTGTGTAGCTCAGGCTTTCTTGGAATTTTCTGAGCTGCCCAGACTGTCTTCAAATATTAAATACCCCTGCCTTGACCTTATAATCATAAGCATTAAACATTGGTTCTATAACTGGAAGTGATATTTATTTTATTCTAAAATCATAACATAAAACATATTTTATTAGTTTGGAATGCTTCAAAGATTTTTTGGTGCTTTTATTCTTTCACATATTTTAATGCACCACGTTGAAAATATTATTTGTCCTTGTATAATGAGGATCTGCCCTCCTACTGTGGGAAGTGACCATGTGCAAAAGTTGATAGAATGTTAAGAATAATTGATAAACAGTCAATGAAAGAAAACCAGTCATAATGGAAGGTAAATAAGGTCTTTCACAACACATAACATTTTAATCCTTTTCCTATTACTAATGGGATTACTATCAGACGTACATGAATGTGGGCACCATTGTAAAGCTCCCACATGCTTGCAGTAAGGACAGTTTGGTCACAAACTGGCAACATATTTGATTCTAACTAATGAGGAAACACACATACACTTCTATTTATTATTGTAGTAATTCAAATACCTTATTCTATTTCATACTAGATATCTGGTAAATACACTCTTACTAGAAACTTCCATGTTCTTCAAGAACAAAGCTAGAGACTTGAATTTGCTCATAAACTCAATCACTAATTTTCAGGGGTGCTAACTTGTGAATCTATCTCCTAGAAGCAGGAGGAGAAAGAATAGTCTCTGGGTTCTAGAAACTGTAAGATTGTCCTAATTAAAAACAAGAATTTCCAAGATTTCAGGCCCCTGCATGAAATAAAGAAGCCCAACCATTAAGTCACAGATCATCAGCCTCACATTTGCTAACTGGTCTTCAAAGCTTCTGGAGAAGAAACAATACAGAATAATGTGGTTACTTATTCAAGATCCCCTCATTACCTGTGTGCCCTATGCAAGCTAAAAACAAACAAACAAACAAACAAAAAACAACCTTATCTTCTCTCTAGGTTTATTTCTCAACATTTTTTTTTCTTTTAGTATTTGTCCTTTTCCATGGTGCTATACATTAGATTGAGGTTGTTTTTAGAGTTTTTTGCAGTTCATGTTTGTCTTCGCTATACTGAAAAACTAAACTTAGTAGTAGGTATAATACAAAAAATGCTTGTAATGAGTAAATATTGAAATTTAAGTTCAGGAAAATCTTCAAGTTGACAGGAAATACATATCATTACTTCAAATGCTATTTTGTCACTTAAAAAGCAATGCTTCATTTAACTCACTATAAGAATAAAAACATGAACTTGTCACAACTGGCAGCTTCCTAAAAAATATTACTATGGAAGCACATTATGTTTGGATTACTTCAATTTTTTTAGCAAAAATATTACAAATAAATATTTAAGTAAAATAGTCAGAGAACAATACAGCTTGAAAATTTGAACTAAGAGACATGAAGTAACACCACAGTTACCATTAGAGCAGATGGAGTACTCACAGGAGAAAAGACAATAATATGCAGATTTCCAGCTTTGTTGGAGCTTAGCCCATCAGTGGTTTACTCTAAGCATGTGAGGACATCAAACAAAAGGTAAAGCTGAAGTTCTAGAACTTCCAACTTTGTGTACAGATTCCATTTATTCACTTAACAATGTCCTTGATATAAGAATGTGAAATAAATCCATAAAACAACGTAATTTATTTTGTACTGCTACTTTTTAACGGGCTATCTATGTATGATTCATAATCACCAGAGCTCAGAAAGCAGAATATCAGCAACACACGTATTATCACAGGGTATATTATTATGAGTAAGACAGAATAACTCCAAGACAACCCCAGAGTCACTGTAATGCCCAAGGGTTCTGGAGTCCAAGGGAAAACAAAATAACTTACAAATTCTGGGCCACCTGGAATGTCACCTGATGACAGACAAAATAATGGACAAAGTATGATTACAGTGGAATGATTAGTGTCTATTGGCATTACCTAGGAAAATGATGTATGTGAATTACTCACTATATGTCAGCCACACCACGATTGCCATCATCAGAAGTAAGCAAAGGATCACCAGAGCCACTGCAATGAGATATAAGGAGATTGTAAGAGATATAACTCTAAAGACATAAAAATTGGTAACAGAATCATCACCAGGACCATCCCATGGTTCACCACTAGCCATAACCTGGAGCTTCATATGACAAAGGAATGATAAACTAACGTTTTAAGTAAAATTCAAGAATACAAACTAACTCCTACACCTACTGTTCAGGGAAGAGCTCAGAAGAGAGGAGTAAAGATTGTAAAATACAGAGACTGAAGACAGGGAAGCTACATTCAGCAGTCTCAAAAATAGCACAACCTAAGCAATACTTGCCCAACCACAACACCAGAGAACAAGCCAGTAAGGACAGGGAAAATCTCCACAAGACCCAAGGCAATTGATAACAGGTGATAGAGAAAATAAATCTCTTCTAGGAATCAGCCCATAATTGGATATCTAATGCCAACTGGTCAGCTGTAAAATACATGCATGAGAACAGCAATAAATGGAATGTCAGACTGAATATATAAACACATGTAAACATATTACTAATAATTAAAGGGAAAGGAAACAATAAAGATAATACATCAAAGTAGGAGCATTAGGAAGAACTGGAAGGTTAACAGGGAATGGGGAACAGGATATAATAATAATAGATAAAGATGATCAGTAAATTATATTTACTTGTATATACAAATCATAATGAAACCCTATATTTTATATAATTAATAAATTCTAAAGAGCTCTAAAAAGTTTAAGTTTTCAATTTCTAGGTGGCAAACACCTATTCTGCTTATACCCTATGTATACATGCAGGAGTTTAGATAAATTTCACCCATTCAGCCTTGAGTTTTCAGTCTTCTGACTCAGTCTCATTGGAAACTGGAATGACAGTCTTGAACACAGTTTGTTCATCTTACAAAGCACTGAAGGCATAAGCAAGATGCAGGTAGAAAAGTCAAAACTGTAATTCGAACACTAAGATATCACATGAAGAGGAAGGAGAGATCAATGTTAAGAAACTTGTAGAAGCTGGTAGCCAGTCTAAAAATTCTGAACTCTATAAGTTTCCATCATAAAAAAATTCTTAGATGTCAGCTCTTTTCCTGTCTATCAATTATGTTTTACTCAGAAAATAAGATATTTATCCTTGTTACTTAAGGTCTTGGGTTCTAGGGTCCCGCATCTTATTATCACCACACTAACAAAGCAGAAGTTTTCAGTTTAGACATTGAATGGGACAATATTTGAAGGACAAGGGGATGAGAGTAATGACATTAGACTTCCCTTCTGACCTGACTGCTGATGCTGATGATTGGCATTGGAATATCTTGTTTAGAAAGAGATTTGCTTTAAACACATACTTTTCTTTCCTTTTTAAATTTTATTTGTGTTTGTTTGTTTTGTTTTGTTTTGTTTTTTCAAGACTGGGTTTCTCTCTAGCTTTGGAGCCTGTCCTGGAACAAGCTCTTGTAGCCCAGGCGGGCACAGAGATCTGCCTGCCTGTGCCTCCTGAGGTCTGGGACTAAAGGTGTGCACCACCACTGCCCAGCTATACTTTTCATTTATTTAAGATTTATAATCTTTAGAAAATTTAGTGTTTTTCAGAATGTAGTTCATTTCTAAAGGCCTCATATTTTAAATCATAATTTGATAAAATTAGCTAAAAGCTAATGGTTCCTCAAATTTATAAAAATGTATTCGAGGCAGGCTAGGTAGTTCACCACTGTAATCCCATAATTTGAGAGACTGAGTTGGGATCATCAAGTATTCTGGGACACCTTTGGTCATATAGCACAGTTAATATCGGTCCTAGCAACTTGAGACCCTGACTTAAAAAACAAAACACAAACAAACAACCAAAACAACCAAGAATAACACAAGGCAAATAAATTATTGATTTTTTTAGTCTCAAATTTTACTTTTTAAATAAACGCTTCTAAGTCTTCACCTCTTCTTGCAGTGATCTCCTATTACCACTTGACAATCAGCAGTAAGGCTAGGACAGTTTTCAATGCCTGGTCTGTACAATGCCCAGGAGGACAGCACTCACCTTTGTGGCCAACCTCTCTGGGACCTTGAGTCTCATCCTGACTGGCTGGACTCTGTGACTCTGAAGAAGACTCAAAAACTCTTGAGTTTGAATATATCACTTGCTGATTCTTCATCTTAGACAGAAGCAAGAAGGCTTAAATTAAAATATTGTCTTGGGATGACGTCTAGGTGAAGAAAAAATTAAAATGTCCAAGTTTAAAACATTCCAGAATTTTATGCTGGGGTAGGATGGAAGATTATTAACTCCTTTAAAGATCTGAACGCTGTAAAGAGAGTGGAAGGTGTCTGACTTCCAAAATATATGATAATTAATAAACAAATTATTAAATCATAAGTAGTTATGATTTATCTTGCCTTTTCCATTAAACAGTATTTAAAGGTACAATGAATAAACAGGTAATATTACAAATTTTTGGTGATCTCAATTCAGTTCAATATTTAACACATTTTTATTGATGAAATTTTCTAAACTCATTTACAATTTCATTAATTTTCTAAAAATAAAATGCCTTCCTATTATAAAATTCTACGAAGTACAGAAGAAAGTATATAAACCACTTGAACTAATCACCAAGTTATCAATTCTACTGATCACTCTATATCACACACAACAAAAATCATAGCACAATAAAAAATTCTTCTCTTGAAGCTAAATTCAAACATTCACAGTCAGAACTAATACAGTCCTAATATGACCGATTGTCTTTCCTATCTCTGTTACTGTTATGCCGGCCATTTGTAACTGAATGGTATTTCTATAGAATAAGTATGATTCTGTCTGAAGGAATCAAAATAGTTGTTACCTATACCTCATCCAGGTGGTGATGCAGTTGGAGGAAGCTAAGGATGAAGAACAAGTTGTTCTTTCCAGTCCTGATTTCCCTCAGTAGCTCCAAATGAAACACAGAAGAGAGTTCTTTCTGTAAGATGCTCCAGCCCGTATTGTTCTGCCCCTCCTCTCGACCAAAGTGAAAAGAGGAAATTGTATGTTGAGAGCTGATAAGGAAAGATCAGAATCATGAACTATGCATTCCTGCTGCATATGAAATGACCCACATTTCATTTGCAGCAGAATCACATTTGTAACCAGTATTTGATGACTGAAAGGATAAAGGAAGATACATTTTGCGAAAACACTGCCAATATTTTCAGCTAAAATATAATGTGATTAAAAGAAGCCATTGTTTAGAAGAAGGGACTGAAATAACTCTATATGAATATAAGGGTATATAAAATAAATGGAATGACTAAGTTCTTCAGTTCCAAATTTCAATACTTTTCAGGAATTTTGTTTTAGATTAATATTTATATATATTTTTGAGAAAATAATACTTTTTGTTTTTTAATTGTGTTATTGGGAGTTAATGTATATAAGGAATGCCATAAGACAGTCACATTCCCATTGTGATTTTCTTGGTGTTTACTGATCTATCCTTCAATCCACACATAATGTTTTCAATGAAAGTTGATGTCTTTCCATATTGGTTTCATTGCTGTCATTTCTATGAGGCTGGGTTATTATACCCAAGCTCTTGCACGTCGTCCACAAGAGATGAACTGTGAGCTACTTGTTCATCTTTTGAGGACTTGCTTATTTGTTTGTCTGTTTGGTTTGTTGCTGGTTTGGTTTTCTGGTTCTGTTTCAGACAGAATCATGACATATACTAATAATGGCCTAAAACTCACTATGCAGCCCAGGGTGGATTCAAATTCAATATTCTCCTGCATCATCCTCCTTGGTTCTCTGTTACAGATATACATTACTGGAACAGTTGATACAATGAGTGTGCGTGTGTGTGTCTGTGTGTGCATGTGTGTGTGATGTGTATGATGACTGCAATATGACTTATATAAACAAAAACTTAAATGCAATGAGGCATGATAATACACTGCTGTAATCCCAGGAAGCACAGGCAGGAGAATAATCGGGAGTGCAAGACAGCTTGGTCTACTACATATTGAGTGTCAGACCGCCTAGAGTTATTAAGTGAGACCTTATCTGTAAGCACCCCTCCTCTCTGACAGCAGGTGTCATAAAGCAAGCCCATGCATCCCATTCATTGTTCTACATGTGCCAATCTGCAGCTATCACCCTTCACTTTGTGGCATGCGTCGGCAAATGTTAGGCCTCACCCCAAAGGATGACAACTGACAGTGGGATTTCCAACCTTAAAAAATCTGCACCTAAACAAACCTTTATTCATTGAAACTTACTCAGCCTATTGCTCTGCTACAGCAACTGTGATGAATCACAATGAGCTAGGTTCTTTTTCCTATCATATCAAACTGGTAGTAGTAGTTAGTATTGTGGACTTGACAAGATCAAGCTGAGACAAGATTTGGGCGCACCTGCCAGAGATTATCTATGCTAGATTTAGCTCTGAAAAAGACTGTGAAGGATTTTATTTGCTAGGTCAATAGAGATGGGAAGATCCATTGCAGCTGGTGCCATTTTCCTACACTGCGATCCCAGACTATATTAATGAAGGGAGCAAGCTGAGTACAAATGCTCATTAATCCCTCTCTGTTTCTTGCTATGATAAATGTGACCGGCTGCCTCAAACTCCAACTACAGTGACTTCTTTACCATGAAGGATGATAAACTTGAATTGTGAGTGAAAATAAACCCTTCATCCCCTATACTGGCTTGTCTATGATTTCTTATAACAGAAAGAGAACCTAAGATGCTGTGAAGGCGGGTTGTTTCGCTTTGTTTTAGAAGAGAGACCATAATTAAAATGAGGATCTGAGAAAGTCACAACAGTGAGAAAAACACCACTGACGACCTCAGGTATGAGGATTCATATCAAACTGTTCACAGAAAGGATAATGCTGTTGAGACATTTTTTTGAGTTCCATCCTTGATGGGAGGCTGTGGTCCTCAGGAGGAACACTGGGCAAATGCAGAGCACGTGCTCAGGTGTGAATGTTGTTTGTTTCCTCGCTCTCTGAGACTGTGATACAAGCTCAACATCCTTTCCATCCTGTCTGTGACAGGAGAATGGACAACAGATATGGTGTCAACAGTGTGTTTGACAAACAAGGACAATAGTGTGAACAGAAACTACATACATAGTGGAGACAGAATCATACCAATAACTGGAACGGCAAATAAAGCAACAGCTGTAAATTTATCTTCTGTTTGTTATGAAGCTCCGAGTTTCTTAAAAAAGTCTTCAAATGAAGATGATTATGTTAAAGATCGAGTCTCCCCACAACTAATTGATTGACACTCACACTGCAGTTCTTTTTTTATTTTTTCCATACAAATATTTACACTTCCTTCCCTTCTCCCAATCGCTTCCCGCTCCCACACATCCTCTCCTTTCTCTCCTGCCCTGCTTGATAGAGGGCCAGGAACCCTGCCCTGTAGGAAGTCCAAGGCCCTCACCCTACATCCAGGCCTAAGGTACTGTGCATCCATACAGCCTAGGGTCCCCAAAAAGCCAGAACATACCGAAAAACGAGTCCCAGTGCGTTTATCAATGGCTTCTCAGTAAGTCCCCGTTGTCAGCCACAATTAGAGAGTCTGGTTTGATCATATGTTCATTTCGACCTGGTCCAGCTGGATTTGGTGAGCTCCCATTAGAACAGGCACATTGCCTTTGTTGGTGGACCAACCCCTCGCGGTCCTTACTTCCTTGCTCATCTTCTTACTCCTTTTGCCTTTCAACTGGACCTTGGGAGCTCAGTCTGTTGCTCTGATGAAGGTTTCTGTCTCTTTCTCCATCCGTCGCCGGACTAAGATTCTATGGTGATTTTTGAGATAATCCTCAGCGTGATAGTGGGGCAAGGACAGTTCAGGCACCCTCTCCTCTGCTGTCCAAGGACCTAGCCGGGGACATCCCATTAGATGGGATCCCCTCTAGAGCCAATTCTCTTGCCAACCCTAAAATGGATCCCTTACTGTAGGTATCTTCTTCCCTGCTCCCATATCCACCCTTCCTCCATCTCCACCCTCCCACTCCCCCAATCTCTTGCCAGTCCTTCTTTTCTCCCTTCCCTCTCCCCCTCTCCCCTTCCCCCAATTCACCCCACTCCTGACCCCACTTCCATGCTCACAGCTATTGCCCTGCAATCTTGTTTGCTTCCAAATTCCAGGAGGATCTATATGTGTTTTTTGGGGGGTTCACCTTGTTATTTGGGTTTTCTGGAATTAATAACCTTGGTTTATAGCTAGAGTCCACAAATGAGTGAGTACATACTGTATTCATCTTTTGGGGTCTGGGTTTTCTCACTTAGGATAGTGTTTTCTATTTTCATCCATTTGCATGCAAAGTTCAAGATATCATTGTTTTGTTTTTTTTTTTTTACTGCTGAGTAGTACTCTAATATGTATTTATTCCACACTTTCTTTATCCATTCTTTCATTGAGGGGCATCTATGTTGTTTCCAGGTTCTTGCTATTACAATTCATGCTGCTAAGAACACAGTTGAACAAATGCTTTTGCAGTATGATTGGGCATCTCTTTGGTATATTCCCACGAATGGTATTACTAGAACCTGAGGTAGGTTGATTCCATTCTTTGAACAAAGAGTAGGACACAAGGGAATTATGAAACTTCATCACAATCAGCTAATAAAACAGAAAGTTGAGAAATATAAAAAACGTTTTTCATTTTCTTTAATTGTTGTCTTCTAACTTCACTTTTGTACAAAAACACATACAGATAAACATAAATACATATCCACTATATATCTATGTTTCTGGTTCAGTGCTGCAAGAATCACTTTTTTGGGTAGCCACATCAGGTGCCCATTCACTTGTGGTGAGACTGCAGCTAGGAAGCTGTGCACATCAGTGCAGTCACACCTTCCAACCTCTGGTCAGCCTCTCAGCCCTCAGCAGGCTTTATCATTTCACCTCTGCAAACTGCTCTTCCTGCCCAAGCTGAGGAGGTTATAAGGAACAGTCCGCTGAGAAGTTTAGTTTGAACCACTTTGCTGGGGAAACTGTCTTTCTTGTTCAGTTTTCCACATGATGATACTTCTCTTCAGAGGTCAAACATTGACAACACTAAACTTCACACTTATTAAAGCAAGAAAAACAAAAAGAAAATAAAACTCTATTCTGAGAATTCCTGTGCCCACAATCACCTGATGTGTGCTATCATTTATAATCAGAGCTGTTCTATACTCTGTGATGTTGTACCTACCCACACTGTGTTTAGATATAGTGCTAGCGTGTCCTTCTGGTCCAGAAGCACCAAGAGCAAGAAAATGAGAAAGATGTTTTGGGAATTCAGTAAGAGTCATAAATGGGCCCCTAAATCGTTTCAAATGGATATCTAGACTCTTTTATATTGGGGAATGAAATCCACAAGTAAGCTTTTTGCCTCTTCAGTCCCAGTCCACTCACTATACCATAGGTCAGAGAAGAGACTCTCCAACTCTGCTACATCCTCAGTGGATCTACACTCAGCTCATCCTCCTCAAAGCATTCTTTCTTTAACATGTAATTTTTTCCTGACGTATGGTCTGACATAGTTCAGGATGGCCCAGAAATGACTTTGTAGCTGAGACAGGCCTGGCCTCCTGATTCTCCTCCCTCCAATTTGTGAGTTCTTCTGTTACATTATAAGCCCCTTGGTTTCAGCCCTCACATCGTTCTTTCACTTTGTGTATTGTTTATTTTGTTGAGATGTTTTATACTGGTTAGTTATCCAGAATGTCTAGGAATTCATCTGTTTAAACAAAGGGATCTGTGATGCAATTTGCACCTTTTAGAGAGCCCTGTGGTGCCATGACTTACAGGTGGCGCTGATTCCCACCTTCCACCTTTCCAATGGTGTGTTCTCAGATGTGTAACTACTCCATATATGGCTAAGGCTAAGATCTGGCTTGCTTCTGCATTTCTGGACCGATCTGTGTTTCCCATGTGGCTTACTGGGGTTGGCTACCCAGAGGTTATTTAAGCTGTAGACTGGCATTTCCCCGGGGCGAGGGGTTGCGAGAGGTGCGAAAGGATGAAAAGATTATTTTAAGGGCCTGAATAAAACCACAGTTAAGAAGAGTCCAGTGTTGCATCTTCATTACTGACAAGAAGAATGTCACATTTGGTGCCAAAACCCAGGAGCGTTACAGGAAAGGGAAGCTTATGGGGAAAGGAACGTTATGGGGACACAACCTCTCGTCTGAACTCAGAAGTTTCTGCGGGCAGGGAAGTCTAGTAAATTCTTAGGTAAAGGGGAAGTACGGGGTTAATGACCATGACAAAAGTGGGGTTAATGACCACGACAAAAGTGGGGTTAATGACCACAAGAGTGGGGTTAATATGACTGCGACAAGAGCAGGGTTAGTTTAAATGTGTACAGATGTATATTATGTTGTTTGTGTTGTCTTTTGTGTACTGGACAGGAGAAAGATATTTGAATTTAGGAACTGCAAAGAAAGGTATTTTGAATTTAAAATATGGGTCTAAGAATTTGATGTTTTGGAAAAGAGGTTCTGTTTTCGTCTCCACAGTAAATGAGAGTCTAAGGATTTATTCAAGATTCATGTGGTTTGAATCATCTAGACCTCCTGAAATGTTGTAGTAAATACCCCTAAGAATGCAACGTCCCTGTTCAGCAGGAAGTAACCAGACAGACTGACAATGCCCAAATTCCCTAAAAGATTGTTTAAGTGGAGTCTTTTC